ATTATGCAACGTGATAACTACGTAACGAAGGCGTAGCCACGAATAATGAAGCGCTAATTAGTCGTCATGCGTGTAAATGAATAAATTTAGTTGCTGCTGTTATGCTAAAGGAGAAAAATAAGATTCTCCGCTAATTCTCATACGTTTTTCGGATAATACTTTAGGCAATTCGAATTTTCAAAGCTATGTACATGGCATATATGAAAATATAAATCATGTACAAAGTTGTATCTTTCTTTCGGGACGTCAAGAATAAATGATTAAATAAAATGATCTAAATAAATCGAATTATAATAAAAATTTTACATATAATTTTTTTGACAGTTTCAAAAATCATAGAAAGTTAAAAAATCTCGAGGTACGTTAAAAATTTATTACAAAGAGTATGGTCTCAGTACTTCAACACTATTTTCTACTTGATTATTTTCTACTTCTCGTTACATCCACTGGAAACTCGAAACTTTACGCTCAGTTGTATAATTTCTTCTGAATCAAAATGTGCCATGTCTGACAGGTAATAGGAAGAGCCATTAGGAACCAACACGTTGCAACGTAACGGTTGATGTAGCTTATGACGCTGACGAGAACTGCAACCCGCATGGCCAAATTTGGCGCACTCAGGTTCACCATGCGGTTCGAAACTACCCACTCTCATTACCACTCGCCGCAGAATGGACTAATCTACAGTGTTACGCGAATTGTCAAATCTGCCGCCTAGCGCACCGCGCAAAATGACCAAAAGACCGCAGTGATTCAAATCGATAACAAGGAAACGACCGTAAGAAGAGACCGTCTCCCCTTTTATCTCTTGTAAAACTGACATGGTTGTGAGAAAATTTAAAAAATGGAACGGAATTGCCGGAAACGAATGGAACGTCTATAGATAATCGAAGGCGCAGGAAAGAAAGAAAGAGAAAGAGAACGGTACGAGAGGGAGAGAAAAGTAGGGCCAGGGTATTCGCGACGTTGGCGGAGCTTTCTCTGATTTCGGAAAGTTGGATAACGGCAAACCGAGCGTAATGGCGCCGATAAAGACGCCATCGTCGTCGTCGACGACGACGACGGCGTAGAGGCGCGCGCGAAGATTCGATTCTATCGGAGCTGTTATTTACTCTTCAGAAGCTTTACCCGTATCTAAGCGTCTACGTGCTCCTCGCACAAACCGCCCTCTTTCCCCTCCTTCGAATTTTATCGCATCTGATGATTATAATTGTTCGTCGCTGGTAAAAGGTTCGCCGAGTTTTATAGGGTAATGAAGAAACGGTGTGCCGCTTCCCTATCTAATCCCTTCGCTCTGCTTCGACCACGCGCCCTTGTCTTACCCTATTCGTTCTATTTCTACTAGCTATGTCGACCGGCCGGGGGGGACAACGGACAGGTAGCAGAGCGCGCTCGCGGGCGTGCGGACAAGTGTCCTGGGAATTACCTATTGTTTTTCCCTGCTCCGGAAACACACGGGTGCCATCGGGAGCATTAATGCCTCTCGTAATGGAGGGAGGCACGTAATACGAGCCGGGAACGCGGCAGCAGATGCTCGCGCGTAATCCTTCTATATAGTCTGGCGCACGTTTCGAGAGCACCGTCTCTCTGCACCAAAGGTGGTGAGCGAGATTCGACGCCACCATAGTCGTGAGTCATGACGCGCACACGCGAAATACACGGGTGTAAGATGCATTTCTGCGCTCAAGATACTGTACTGAAGGACATAAGTCCAAAAGCTCAGTATTTCGGTGGAATTATTTATAATCGCGTGGAATTATTTATAATCGCTTTCTAATTTGCAAGTAATAATCTTTGGAAACATGTATGTGATAACACATCATAGTATATATCCGAGAATAAAATAGTAATAGGTAATTGTTGTCTGTCCTAGATTTGTTTCTTCAAGATATATACATTGTTAATTACCGGTGCTTCCCATTGCTTCTTTAGAGAATGCACATCGAATAACATAACTAACTACTCTTGAGTTCTCGGGGAGTCTTTGCAGCCGCAGAAGGCCAAAGGGAAGAAGTGAAGGATGTAAAAACAAGATAAAATATGAATATAAAAAGCGAGAAGCGCAAAGAGGCACGTAAGAAAATGTTTGACCGGACCAGTGTTTATGCACACCGTCCAAAGCATACAATGCGTTTTATTATCACAAAGTATATGAATATTTGATTAAAGCCTCTCCTGTCACAAGGTAACAAGAAAAAGATAACGAACAATATAATATATATAATAGCCTAGCACAAATTATCGAGCGACAAACTGTATCGCATCTAGAAATTTAATTAGCTTGCGATATCCTGTTTTACGTTTATCTTGCGGGGAAAAAGTAACAAGTCAATAAGTAGCACGTCGAGATCGAGTAACCATAACAAATTTCAATCTGTCAATAGATACTACTCCCGTAAGAGCTTCCCGGCGAAGAAGTCACGTTCGCTGATCATTTTATGTGGTATACCCAGTATGTTTTTATTTGAACTGGGTCACTGCAAGACTGCTGCTCTCCAGGAAGTACTCGTAGAACTCCGGAGGCACTTAAACATCTCGGCGATGCCGAGGAGTTTATTGCGTCTTTGACACCGAAGTGCAGTCGAAACCCATCGTCGTCGTCGTTGTCGTTGTCGTTGTCGTCGTCGTAGAACGACGATACGCGGCAGCTGCTGCCGTAATGTCGCCTCGGCGCACCTTTCCGCACCGCGATGGAGGAGAGAATTCGAACGGGTCGAACTTGTCGTTAGCCGCCGTTCCTCGCGCGAGTTCTCATGACCCGGTAATTCGAAAAATGCGAGAGTTGCTCGTCGCGAGCAGACGCTCGTTCTGTAATATCGCTTGTACCAATCCACAGAGTCGCGTTATTGATCGAAAATTATGTCGCGTCTCAAGAGAGAGAGAGAGAGGGAGAGAAACTCGAAGTAAATAATAATTACACGAGAAACGCTGCTACGACTCGTTTTTATAATTGTGATTTATTGTAGTTTTTAGAAATAACGTTGTATAATTCATTGTAGTTTCCTAAATTAAATTAAATTCTGTGAAATCAAATTAACGTCAAATATCACAAATAAATGCAGGATTCGCTTTTTGTTATTCAACAATCGTACACGTAGCGCGAGTTCTTATGCTTCGATTTTTCCCCGAGCAGAATTTTAATTATTACAGTTAAAGTAAGTAGAAGAACTTTTGCCTCAGAATTTCCAGCAAAACGCTCGAAAGTTAGAGTGCCGCAACGAAGTGGTTATTAAGACTGTCTCGAAAACGCAAACACCTTACGCTCGAACTGCAAACGCGTGTGCAGTGCCTAGCTTTAGCGCATACATGTACACTCCTCCTCCCCCTCTCTCTCTCTCTCTCTCTCTCTCTCTCTCTCTCTCTCTTCCTCTCGTAATACGACGAATGTGTTGCAAACTGGGTCGCCAAGACGATTATCTCCTCGGATGTAACTACCGGTAAGGGATAGGTACGGGCATCATTATTACGCTCGAGAGATTCCGCGGAGTCGTAGCCAAATCGAGTAGGATACTTTCGATTGCTTACGGCCGTCTATTCCCCGGAGTTATTTCTACGAGACTTGCTACATTGTTGACTCGCGCTACTCGCGGTACACACGCGCGCGCGCGATAAATCCCTATACCGATATAAGTTGCCGTGAGAGCTGCGCTACACAATTTCCATAGCATGCTTTTACGCGTGTTATACATCGAACATTTTGCGGAATAAAGTTATGGGCGCGACAACGCGAAGGCAATACAGCGATGAAAGGGAAAGAAACACCGGTTGGGTTTTCATGACACGTTACATTTATCCTTCTTTTATTCTGATTATATATTTCGATACTCGTATACCTCTCGACGTTGTCAAGATATTTTCGAGAATTTCAACAAACCCTTGTAACAAGTTATTATCATTTGTTATTGTTATATTATATCAGTTAATCGGAATTACAGAAAATCTAAAATTCATGAAGAATATTGAGGGTAATAAAAAATAACATTTGAAAAAATACGAATCGTAATGTATCCGAAAAAGAATTTCTCGGATACCGCGTAGAGAAAGCAAAGCCATGAAAAAGCTTGCCGCCAAATTTATAATAACGAGTACAAAGATATTTGGAAGATCCTCAGAAGCATTACCAAATCGGCGTACGTGACCGCGAGGAAATCGCGTCGACAAAGAAGGTGGAAATAAACGTTATAACGGAGAAAGGGAGACGGGGGAAGCGCGCGCGCACGCGAGGTGAGGAATCGAGTGAGAGGGAAAAAATATCCTATGAATTCGTGAGTGACTTCGGATATCACGTTCGGTTCCGCCTGGCGGAGATTTTCTACGACTTTGTAGTCCGCAATATATCTGAAGTCCGTTTGCAAGTTTAAACCGCACCTTGCGTTGTACGTGTCGCAAATATATTCCACGCACAGCGTGCAAAGATTCTCGTGCACGCCGCCTCGCTATCGCCGCCACAATTTTATAGAGCGGCATCGCCGAAATCTTAACTTCGGAATCTCATAATTATCCAATTTATCGACTATATGTATTATTTAATTCGCAAAGATATTACGTGAGTGTAATGTCGTATTTTTTTAATCTTTACCGTTATAAATGCGGCAAACTCACCGTAAGTTTTTTAATTGTTTTTAAATTTCATGAATTCTGATCTAATTTTTAGATTTATCGACACGACAGCTTGTGCATTTTATTAAGTTTATAATCCCATAAGTATTATCTTCGTAGTCTACCCTAAATTACAAATTCGGCGGGAATTGGTACCATTAAATGTCCCCAGCAAACGTAATTCAAAATGTGCCAGCGTAATTAGTGGGCTACGATGAAAACGCATAGATTGTACCGATTAAATATCTACGCTTGAATTTATGCTCGATTTTCATGCATAGCTATTGGAAAACGTAATTACGCTTATGACATTTAATGCGGAGTTATGTAATTACACATTGAGCTTTGTCCGTGCCATAAATCGTATAGAGTCCGGTCAAACTCGCACAATCATTACTTACGTCCAACAGTTATTTGATCATCCAGAACATATCTCGGCTTCGTGGCCTGGCGACGATGCCTCTCATCGATTTCTGAAAATGAGAAAAGCGAAAACTTCGGTCAAAAGGATCAACAATATCACATTAAATTTTATGCGATAAAGTTACGGTACACGTGTATTGTCCTATAAAATGATTAAATATTCAAGTATCGAAATAATATCAAACATACATATCGCACGTATACGCGCAGCAAAACCACAAATTGGATGCATAAACGCAAACGAGTAATCATTATACCTTCATCGTTTCAAAGTCCAAACAACCGATGATCATTATTCAGTTAATACACCGGAGAAATTTGAATCGTGCTCGCATTCCTGTTATCCCGATAATTTCACTCGTTATATACAGAGAACAACAGCGGCAAAATAAAACTCTCGATTTTTGACTTCGGATTTTAGCGAATCACGAGGCGGAACACATCCGAGACAGGAACGAGCTGAGTGTTATTCGCGAATCCGTCGAATATATATATCGACAATCTCGTTCTCGCAAACTTTACAGGAATACTCGCAGGATTCTTGCGCGGCGTCGCGACGGCGTGTACTCTGCTGAAATTAAAATCGATACTTGCAGAAAGAGGAGAGGAGAGTGAAGAAGAGAGAAAAATGGAGATAACGTCTGGATTTTACTCTTCCCGCTCCTCTCGCGTTTATAAAGCCGTGCAAAATCGCCGAAGAAGGGAGCGTTTGGATAAATAATCATTCTGCAGAGTGCGAATCTTCCGCATGGGGTGGGAAAGAGCCGCCCGATAAGGTGGGCGAATAACGAAGTGGAAGAAGCGAGTCGTAAAGCAGCGGGAATAAATAGTCGAGCGTCAAGTCGGCGACCGAAGTTTGCGAACGCGCAAATCCTGAGGGAAGTCTTGAACAAGAATTCCGCGTGATCGTTCCCTTCCTCCTCTTCCAATTCCGTACATTCTTCATGTAATTATTTTATCGCTACAAAACAGTGTCCCTATACTTTTGGAAGTTTACAGCTTTGTCAGTATACCGATCATTTCTTATCCAGCACAAAAATTAATAAATAAAAAAATAATCTATATTGTATTTCTATTAATAAATATATAAATACTAAAAATAACAAAAAAAAATACTCACAAAGCATATAGGGCTAATAATGCGACATGATTGATAAAAAATGTGTATCTGTAAAAAATCAATAAAGAAAAATCTGGAGACGTCGTAAGTGCATAAAATATATGGATACAGATGTGCAATCTCGTGTTATATGACAAGCTCGAGATATTATTTCCGAAAGAGAATAATCATATTCGCGTAAAATGCTCGGCCAAGTTCGCTCGTTGATGTTCCCTTACTTAAGTGTTCTAAAACAAAGAAAGTTGAGCGAAATTCTGAACGGAGGAAGGAAGATGCGAAACCGCAGCGCGCGAGAATAAGTGGTGGAATGCCCGGTCAAAATTTACGAGCAATACTTCCCCACCGGAAATTCTCGGAATATTTGTGAATACCGCCGCGTCTTCGAAATCGCAGGCCACGTTTCGTGCACTCAATATTGTTCTCCTTCCTTTTATCGGCACGGCGGTGTTCATATTTTAAGAACATAAACCGCACTTAATCCGGTTTAATGACGGTTTTTAATTGGGCGCTCACGTAACAACGTAAAAGTTTATATAAAAAATATATAAAATGTAGAAAATCTTGTATATAGACAATTAAATGTAATGTTGTACTGCATGGAATTTTCTTAATATTTCCTCGTAGGAAAGAGTTTCCCGTTAGTAGACTCTAACAAATTTTTACGAGACCGCCGCGCCGTCCATTGATTCCATAATTCTTATGTTTACGCACCGATGAGAAGCATTTTTCTGGAACGAGCTACTTCGTTCCGGTGCTGACGTATTCCTTTTTATGGGAGAATCCCTTACGTGATGTCCGCCGCAGACGCGATATTCATACAAATAACATTCAGTTTCCCGGCCGTCATGGAATTTACGAGAAAGACGGACCGAGGATCGGCGAATTGAGAGACCGGCAATAGGAATAAATAGCGGAATATATTCGACGGGACGATTCTAGTTTACGACTAATAGGAAATCCTGAAGGAAATCTTGAATGCCGATATCCACACAAGTGTATTCCTTGCGTTTGCTCTCTTGAAGATGAGTTCTTGCGTTTCTTGCCATATGGATAATTTCAAAAATACTAGATTGCTTATTTCAGAAAAATTTATATTGCAATAATAATTCATTAAAAAGATCTCATTACATAAAAAGCTCATTAAAAAGATCTCAACACTGCTCTCATATTTTACTTTCACAAAATTTTTTGAACCACTAAAATTCCCAAGAGAATTATGTATAACAAAGTTATTTATCAAATAAAAAATACCGTTTTTTTTCCCAAGACTTCGCTGTTTCACGGAGCATAGTTCGAGAAATGCTGCAGTAAAGCGACACGACGGCGATGTTGTAAACGATGCAACCGACCGACGCGGCGCGGCGCCGCTGGCCGAATTCTGGCCGCAGGCACTCAACGCGCGAGCAATAAGAACTTTCGTCTCGAGGATTCCATAATTTTGTACTTATCGCCGAGAGTAAAAACAACGCGCTCGAACTAACAATAATTAAGAAACGATGCTCGCCAGCGCGCCAGTTGCGTAAACGCAAAAAAAATATATGTTTGTGTTAGATTCAACAAACGGGAAAAATAACACGGGAAAAATAACGAAAACGCAGCAACGCTGACGTTCGTGTTTGCGTTCGATTCTTTACGAGCTCATGTAAGCTATGGAATAATATCGCGTGTGAAAAAAAAAGCCAAAATCGATTTATTCGTATTCGATATCGATATAGGAATAAAATGTCACTCTGTTTAAATATCCCCTAAATCTAATCCGAAAGTTAGTTTGTGGCTGGATAATACAACATGTTTTTCTTCAATTGATATGAAACGGCGATAAGTTAAAAAAAAACATGTGTCATAATTATTATATCATTTCATTTCATATGTATATATCTAAAGATTTTATTTCTATCAAATATTACCAAGCAATAAAAATGGCAATATAAGTTTCACTATGCCAGTGCGATTAAAAAGCAAATACCGTGTCACCAAGTCCTGACAAATTTCTATCTGGTCACAAAGCAATCTTGATTTACAGTACATTGAATTCGAAATTAACGATTCGTATTAAAGATGCAGCACAACATAATGTCCCAAAGAACTCGCGCTTCGTGCTTAAAGAACATTTATGCATTCAACTCGAGCAGCGCACCGTTAATTGCGTTATTGAACCGTATTACGCTGCTTCTTTCAGTCAAGCTGTTCTTAATTAGCAAGCATCCACATTCGTCGAAGAGGGAGAGATGGGGGAAAGGAGCGAGGAGTTCGTTAATGAAACGCCTACGGCAACGTCAAGCGCGAAGATGCTGAAAACAGGCGGAGGTTACCCGATACACGTCGTTGTAAGCCAAGGGTATCCGCGGAGTTTAACAATCTGACAAAATGGATGGCATATTGAATTCGTCACATACAGGAGTGTATGTTTCACACGCGCAAAAAACAGCAGGCTCCTGTCGAGAGCACTATGGGAAAACGATCGCGTAACACAAAAAACAAGTACTCCTCGCTATCCGAGAGAGCGAGAGATCAAACATTTCGATTAACAAAGTGCTTGAAACATCAGATGCACAAGCAGTTATCCGTGTTTGATGGATTCAGCTAGAAATTCAACCAGCACTTGGGGTGATTTGCACGTCCCAATAAAAATGTGCCGCGTTCATTTTAATTGTAATCTCCTCTTTATCTTCCATGTGCGATTGAATTTAAATGATGCGCGAGAATGTATAATATTTAATTACAGAGACAGAGAGAGATAGAGAGGGAGAATAGAAGAGTACTTTAACCCTTTGAGTACCAACCTCCGCCATCATTAAAAAAAATATCTGATCGTTTAACTAGAAAATGCGAACACTTTAAATATAAATTATATGTTAAATCACGCTTACAAATATATTATATATTAAATGAATTTATAAACATGCTTAAAATATAAATGCATATGCTGAAAAAACGTTGCTTAGTGAAGTTGTCATTTTCAATGACAACAGCACCAAATTATATCGATAAATTTTCTTTATGTAAATAGGAAAATATTATAATGCATTTGAAGTTTCTCTTTATTGCAATATCCATCAAAAAGACATACTAAAGTCTTAGTTTAGAATTTAGCAAAATATTAAGAAGAAAAACTTAAAATTATATATTTTTTAATTATTATTATATTTTAATTATATTTTAATAATGCTATTGTTTCTGTTGTAATTTCTACGAAATAATTTGTATAATAAATGTACGTATAAGTGTGGCAGAGCCAGTCACGAAAGTAATTAATTTTTCCGTTTTGAGGGACACGCTCTTGCGGGAGGAACGTTCCTCCATTCGCAGCTAACTTTTATTTTTCTTCCCGTTTCATCTCGACTCCTACGCGTCGTTTTCTATTTTACACGGGAGTGACAGCGAAAAAGAAATAAAATACCGAATGTAACCTAAGTATTATATACCGAGGAAAGAGAAGAGAAATTCGCTGGATGATGGTAACGCGAGCTTCGTCTTGAAAATAGAGACTCAAGACGGAGTCTGGGAGTCTGGGAGTTATAATTGCCAACGCGACACTTCCTGCCGTAGAAAAAGGGGAAGGGGGAAATAAAGAGAGGAGGAACGATGAATGAAATGTTTCGTAAAAGTCGTGCGTGTGTCGACGGGGAATATAAGGATGGCGGTTACATAGCGGAGAATAAAAACCGCCATAGGGCCATCGAATAAAAGCCCGTTTTATTCGATACAGCGAGGACGAACCAACTGGCCCTTTTTCAACCCTGACTTGTCCATCGTTTCTCCGTTGGACGCGTGCGCAAGACAAAGGACGAAAATAGGGACCACCCTTTGCTCCCGGTTTGCGCGACCGCTGGCGACTGTAATTGCCTTCTTCCGGACCGGACCGACGCTCGACCGTGGCTTTTACGACGACCGATATGACCGGTTTTACGAGTTTCCGTTCGTATCACG